AGTATGAGCCCTCCACTGTACCCCCAAGCACAAACCACTAGGAGAGGGACTATCACATGTGAACAGGACCTGGGCTTTGAAGACAGAGCCATCTGGGTTCAAATGCCAGCTCGCCAGGGTGTTGGAGCAGGCGAACTTGAACTCGTCACTGGGCTTCTGTGAGCCCTCATTTCCAGCACTTGCAGGATTCCTGTCAGGATTAAATAGCCTGACATTTAGTAAGCACTCGGTGAATGTTATCATGTCAGAAGGTTTGCTCATTAATTTTTACCCCAAGACTGAACTTTTTTTTTTTTTTTTGAGAATGTTGCTCTGTTTTATAAAAAGTGGTTTTACTATAACACCCTTCCTGTTAACATGTGGGCTTCTGTAAGGCTTCCTAGACAAGCATGGGGTCTGGAGTGTGTGGCGGGCACGTGGCCATGTGTCCTGACCTTGCTGGGTGGCACGTACTGGGACCCTGGATAGAGGTTCTTAACCTGGGGTGGGTGCTAGAAGGGCTCCCTGAGAATCCCAGTGCGCCTGCGTGTCCCATGTTGAGAAAAGACCTGAGTTCTGGGGAGCAGGTATGCTTACACCTTTCATCAGGAACCTCTCCATGAAAACGAGTAGCTGTAGGGCGGGAGCGAGAAAACATTTTCTACGGAGCCAGCGAGTCAGTATTTTTGGTTTTGCAGGCTGTGTAGTCTCTATTGCAGCCACTCCACTCTGCCGCTGGAGCACTGAGGCAACCGCAGACAGGGATGGCTGGGTGTGGCCACACTTGGCCTGCGAACCCTGCTCTCGGCCCATCTGCCACAGTGAGCTTCGCAATGGAAAGGTTCACCTTGCTTGAGGTGGAACTTCGGGGGCCCCAGGAGTTTGTCTAGTTTGAGAGGAATCTAAAGCTGTATTCCAATACTGTAGCCACAGCCACATGTGGCTGTTTAAATTTAAGTTAATTATATAAAATTTAAAACTTAGTTCCTCAGTTATAGTAGTCGCATATCAAGTGCTTGATAGCCATGTGTGGCTAGTGGCGACCACATTGGGTAATAGACAGAGAACATGCCATCTTTATGGAAAAGTGTGTTGGACAGCAATGATCTAGAGCAGGGGTCGGCAAACTTTTGAAACGGAAGAGCCAATCCTGTCCCTCACAACAATTTAAAAATTCTTTGAGAGCCATAAATGTATTTTCACAAATAAGGAAAATTTAAAAATCCTTTAAAATTTTTATAAATGAAACTATGATAGTTTTATTTTCAGTTTTACTTCAGAGCTACATGTACATACCCAAAGAGCCGCATGTGGCTCGCGAGCCGCAGTTTGCCGACCCCTGATCTAGCGTGTCCTAAGGCCTGTATTTCTCTGTGATGCCGCCGCTGGGCAGGGAGTTCTGGAACAGCGGCCTCTTTCTGAACTTGGAGGAGAAGACTGAGGGAAAGTGCCCTCCTCTCCATGTCAGGCAGGTCCCACCATTACTGCTTTGTTAGCTTAACTTGCCTTTTCCATCTGTCATCAGCCCTGAAGGACGACAACTGGACATAAAGAAGTCAAGTTACAAAAAGGTAAGCAGGTACCCTCTCTGCATACCCACAGAGGTGTGTAGGGGCACATGACATGAGCTGGATAGACACTGGGGAAGACCTGTCTCCGGGGCTCAGGCTGGAATGAAGCTTTTTAATTCCAGGCATGGTGGGGTGGAGGGGAGAAGAAAATGCCCTGGGCTGAGGCAGTTGGGTGGCACCACTCCCCTCTCTCCTCTTGATCCCTTTATAACTAATTAGCATTCTGGAAAGGCTTCACCACTTAGCCTCTAGCAGCTTCTCACTCTCCGACCCTCAGGTGGGGCCTCCCAGTTCCTAGCTGGATGAGAACAGGGACTGTCCCTTGTCCCACCCCAGGACCTGCCTAGCTCGGTGTCTGGCACATCCTAGGTGCTCGGTGTGTGTGTGGCAGCAATGAAGTCCCCTACCACTGGCCCTCTCTCCCTTAGCTCTCTAAGTTCCTGCAGCAAATGCAGCAGGAGCAGATTATACAGGTGAAGGAGCTGAGCAAAGGGGTGGAGAGCATTGTGGCTGTGGACTGGAAACACCCGAGGTGAGTGCAGGGGGCCTGGTCGCCACAGCTCAGCTGGCCCTGGGGCGCCTGGGCCATGGACTGGGACTTGCCAAGACACTAGTATAAAATGTGTTTTTTCTTTCCTTCTGCTGGGTTTTAGGATCACATCTTTCGTCATACCCGAGCCCTCCCCGACCTCCCAGACTATCCAGGAGGGTAGCAGGGAACAGCCCTATCACCCTCCAGATATAAAACCCCTCTACTGTGTCCCAGCCAGCATGACCCTGCTCTTCCAGGAGTCTGGCCACAAGTGAGTTTTTGGAGGGCAGCCCTTGTCTGCCTGTTTGGTATTCTGGCCTGTAGCTCTTCTCCGCCGGAGTAGTGTTCTGTGACTGGCAAAAGCTGCCCTGCCCTGTTCTCCCTTTCTCCCAGACCCGGCTCCAGCTTCCTTCCCCCAGAAAGTGTCTCTGGACTAAATGAATAAGAGAACAGGTGTCCCCTTTTTTTTACCTTTAATTATTCTTTACATGGTCCTGCTCACCTCAGTCAGGAAAAGGGAAGAAAATAGAGGTCAAAAAGCTGGGGAAAGCAGGCAGTGAGTCTTGGTGTTTGCAGGTTGTCTCCTGTCACAGCATGAAGTAACCCCCCAGTCACTTCTCACCTAGGAAGGGGAGCGTTCTCGAGGGCGGTGAGGTCCGAACGATCATCATTAACTACGCCAAGAAAAATGACCTGGTTGATGCAGACAACAAAAAGTGAGTGGGTGGGGAGGAACTCTGTGTTGTGAGTATTCATCTTTAGCAGACAGTTTGCGGAAGATGTCCGCGATGGAAGGGCGTGTAGGAGATCACAGCCTGGTGGAAATAATAAGGACCGTGGGTTTGCAAACCGTGGGCTACGGGCACCTAGAGTTATTGTCTAGTGTTCAGCTCCGTGTATGCTATCAGCATTGACTGGAGACTGAAAAATGTTATATCTGTCCACTGCTGCTTTTCAAATGCAGATGCTTATTGTGAGGGATAAAATGCAAACTTAAAAGAATGTACTGCAGTCATCATAGCTTTTTGTCTTCTCTGTTTTCTTAGTAAGTAGGTACAGAAGGTAAACTGCTAAATGAAGAGTGTTCCGTAATAATTTTTTTTATACTTTCAAAAGACATCCATATGATGAAAAAGTTGTACTGGCCTAAGTATGGGTAGTTAGTAGAACTGACCCACAAATCCTGGTCTGCGGTTTTTCCCATCCCACTTGCTCCTGTACCACCTGCTCCCTTGTTCTAGGAAAACATACCTGCGCCTCCCATCCAGAGGCTGCATTGCTGCATGGATGGTGGTCCCACAATTGGATCTAATAATCCTGAATGACTATAATGGACATTATGATAAGAGATGAATCCTGAGCTGGCCCTTGAGTCAGAAGGGGCGGGGCTGGGATTTCTTTATTGCCTCTTCTTTCCCTGTAGTCTCGTGAAATTGGACCCCATCCTATGTGACAGCATCTTAGAGAAAAGTGAACAGCACACAGTTATGAAGCTTCCTTGGGACAGTCTCCTGACCAGGTAGTGGGGATTGGCAGCCCCTCCCCCAGTTTAGNTGGGTGGAGAGAGTGTGGGGCCTGGATTCACAAATGAGAGTTTTGGTCCCTACTAAGTCCTTAGGCAAGTTGCTGACCCCAAACATTGATTTCCTTGCAGAACATGGAGAAATGACTTTTTTTTTTTGCCTGTTTGGAGAAGAAATTTCAGAGAACTTTGATTATTTTCTAGGTGGATTATAGAATCCTAGGCCTGGAAGAAGGCCTTAGGGATTGTCTGTCTGCCTCTCAGTGCAGCGATAGTCTTTATTTTTACAGCTCTGGTCGACTTGGCCATATTTACCACCCACATTTAGGCCATCTTCTGGCCTCCTTCTCACTTCTGAATCCCAATCAGTAGATCCTGAGGCACCAGGGTGAGGATTACTTGTATGTTGTTCAAGTGTCACATTCCAGATCTCTCCAGTACGGAAGTTACACTTTCTCACTGTAACAATTGCTTTCTGGAGCTGTATACCAGTCTATTTTCTGGTTATTATTTTGTCATTTTCCCAAAACAGTAAATAGTGCTTTTTTTTAAAGCAGTATACCCGGTCTTTTGGCCAAGTGTTGTGGCCTGTTGGTATAGATTCATCCCTACATTTTTAGCTCTGAGAGTTATTCATTTTACATGTATTGGCTAAGCTCTGCTTTGCTGGGGGTACAACCTCATTAGCCTGCATTATAGCAGACACTTGAGGGCTATTTCCTGATGTTCTCCCAGCACCTTGTTTTCTAACTAGCAGTCTGAGCAACGGCAGTCAAGGTCATGTTGTGTGAGTTGTTTTCTCAGTGGCTGCCTCAGCCCCTCACCCCAGACCTTTTAGAAATAGCTGTGACATTTACCTGATCAGGATAGCCTAAACGTACACTCTGGCCTCACTAGTCACAATGCTAACAGGCCTTGCTGCAGCTGTTAGTTGAAGCTTAGTTAGATTTACATAATCTTGGCTAAGATCAAGCTTTGTGCTTGTACCTCCCTGCATGCTCTGCTGTGTGACATCGCTTTTTTTCCTGTGTTCCTAAGGTTAAGTGGCATAAAACCATCGTGACCTCTGCTCTGCAGTTAGCCTGCATTCTGATGTAACACAGAAGCAGCTGGCTCTGCAGCTTTTGAGCAGTCCAGGTGTTGGCACTTTGTTCCTCACTGTGAGCCTCGGGTGTCTGTAATCCACCTAACTAGTTAGTCCTACTGACGAATTTGCAATCTTAATTTTGTTGTTTAATTCAAAGCGGCTTTATTTTTACCTCATAGAAAGGAACTACTTTTGGGGATTTCTCTTTTAACTCCTTTCTCTTTAATATTTCTCTGTCCCCAGATGTGTATTAATAACATTATTATTCTTTTGAGATAGGGAGGAGGCAAGAATTACTCTCCTCATTTCAGAGATGAGAAAACCAAGACATAGCATTCACCTGGGCCCAGAATTGGAAGTAGAGTTGAAATGAGAGCCCAGGCTCGCTCCCTTCCCCTGGACACCCCTGCCTATGGCTCCTGGCTGACCCCCGACCCAGGATAAAAGTGCTGTGGTTGCTACGTGGCATTTCTGACATGAGATTTTTCCAGGCGATCTGGAGACAAGTCCTCTCCACCTCCCATTGCCCCACTGGCGCCGGATGCCCCAGATGTCGCTGAAGAGAAGCGGTCCATCCCGGTAGACCCTGCCCTGCAGGGAGACATGAAGCACCTGACCCTGGAGGGAGTGGAAGAGGAGAATGGGGAGGTTCACCAGATGTGTGGGGAGAAGACCCTGTCAGAAGCCTCAGAAGACCCCAGCGTCGGGGGCCTGAACCCAGACCCCACAGATAGCAAGACCCTTCAAGGTATAGCTCTGGCGGGAAACGGGCCATCTCCCAATTTAGGAGATTGAAGCTGCACTCTCCTGACTGGAGTGGCACCAAAGCTGTGGGACAGGAGGGGCACGTCCTTNCAGCTTTGTGCTTCCATTTCACCACTAGCCCCCAAGAAGGGAAGAAGCCTGCTTGCTACTCAGGTGGCCGTTTTTTTATTTTCATTATGAATAACGTAGTTGATAATTAATGTTTGTTGAGTGAATGAATGATGATGTAAAACGTGGAATTAGATGGAGTCAGAGCATAGGCTGTGATGCTTTTGTCTTGTTTGCTGCAGATTTGATGCTGCCAGGACTAGTGGTGCCCCCTGCTGGTCTGCCTCAGGTACAGAAGGGTGACCTCTGTGCCATTGCCTTGGTGGGGAACAGGTACTGTGCCAGCCAGCTGTGCCTTTAGGGGAAAAACTTAGGTAAAACTGGGGAAGGGATGGGGACTGACAACTTCCAAAGTATATGGATAAAGGATTAAAAGAAAAGAACAGGTTCTTCTGGAAGAAGCAGAGAGTGGCAATGAGCCTGTGGGGTGTCCACACATCTGGGTCAAGTATATTTGCTGCTGCTGCTGCTGCTGCGTTTTTTTTTGTTTGTTTGTTTGTTTTTAATTTTAGATTTACAGAAGAGTTGCAAAGATAGTACAGAGTTCTGATATACTCCTTACCCAGATCCCTGTAATGATAACAGTCTATGTAACCACACTACAGTGATCAAAACTAGGGAATTAACATTGGTACAATCCTATTAACACAATTATAGACTTTAATCATATTTCCCCAGCTTTTCCAGCAATATCTTTTTTTCTGTTCAAGGATCCAATTTAGGATACCACATTTCATTGAGTCATTATGTCTTCCTCCTGTCTGTGACGTTTTCTTGGTCGTTCTTTGTCTTTCATGACCTTGACACTTTTTTTCATCATCTACATCATCATCCTCATCTTTTAATTATTTTAATAGCTTTATTGAGATACAGTTTCCATACTGTAAAATTAACCTGTTTGATATGTATACTCCAATGATTTTTAGTATAGTTATGGTATTGTTCTGCCATCACCACACTGCTTCTTTTTAAAAATAAATTAGGGAGTAATCATATGAACAATTCTGAAAAATCAAAAGCCCCCTCACCTCACAATCCTTTTCTCCTAGAAGTAACCATCATCATTTTGCTAACGTATCCTTGCGTTACCTTCTTCAGTGCATATAAAAATGTATGATTTAGGGTATGTATGTTTAAAAATACAAACAAACAGAATTATACTTTATATTGTTTTTCACTTAAGATAGTGCAGACATTTTTCATGTCAGCAAGCCCAGATACGCTGAATCTTTTTACCCACTGTGTGGTGATAGAAGAATCTCAGTGGACATTCTGGTTATCTCCAGTGTGTCTCTTGTCACAAACAATACCTTTCTGATGGCTCTAGGGACACCAGTGTCAGTATTTTTCTAGAGTAGATACTAAGAAACAGAGCTGTTAGGCTGACGATCATGCATGTTTTCTGTTACCCTATAAAACTATATCAGTCTTCACTCACACCTACAGGGTATATGGAGCCTATTACCCTACATCCTCACCAACCTGGATAGGATGAGTCATTTTTATTTGTGTCATCCTGAGTGAAAAATGACATNTCAACCCTGTCTGAGATTATTTTTCCCCTAATATCTGTTATTTATTGGAAATTTGCAAAGCACTGTACAACATATCACACACACGTTATCGCAGTTGTTTCTCATGGAAGGCCTATGAGGTAAATATAATATCCACATCTCACAAAGAATGCAAGGGTTTCAGAAAGAATAAGCCGGTGGCCCATGATCACACTGCCAGCAAGAAGCCAAACCATCATTTGATCCTAATCTATCTCATAGACTTTTTAGTAAATCATATGATTTAATAAACTCATAAGTAACATAATTACTTAGGAAACAACCCACCCACCCCATAATCCCTAAATCCAAAAAGTACATATAAATGGCCAAAAATATGTTAAAATAATACATTTGAAGATCATTTGTAGTTTTTTAACTCATAAGATGAGAGGCAAATCTGTGACACGAGTGGCTTCCCTGTTATTGTTATTATCATCCCATGTAAATTGAAAAACAGGGAGGAGAAAATCCTAGATGAGGCCTTTAGCGTTCAATAAAATGTAAAGACTTAATAAACAAAATCTCTTAAGAGAAACATTCAAGAGGCCTGCAAGTTTAATAAAACACAAAAGTTCAATTAATTTTGTGGAAGTGAACTAAATTGAATGGAACGGGAGCTGGCAGAACTCCTACTGACCACACTTGAACGCTGATGGGGTGGAAATAAACGTCAAGGCTGATGGGGGCGGGTCTCTACAGAGAGCCGGCGCAGAGCGTGACAGAGGGGGCGGGCAGCGGGGGCGGGGCGTCCCGCTCCCGCCCGCGCGCAGGGGTAGGCCCCGCCTTCCCTGGGCCCCGCCCCGCCTTGCTTCAGTCCCCGGCCTTGTCACTAGGGGCAGCCGCGGTCTCCTCAGCCGCAATAGCTGCGAAGCTGCGCGACCCGGGTTTCCAGTCGGGCGCATTTCTCAGCCGGGCTCCAGCATGGCTGCCTCCAGGACTGCGGTTTGGCGAGACGCCGCGCTCTGGTTTTCCTGACAGCCCCTACTTTCTGTGCTGTTCTTCTGTTCCTCAGGCAACTCCAGCAGACATGTTTGCCAAGGCCTTTCGGGTCAAGTCCAACACGGCCATCAAGGGGTCGGACAGGTGAGGGAGAGAAGGGGCCTCCTCCGCCCACGAGGGCACCCAGATATCTCTCAAACCCGGTTGGTCCACAGCCCTCTCTGGGCTGGGTGCAGCCCACCTGGGGTGGAGGCCGAGGGGTACAGTCGGGGAAGGGATCCCACGGGGCAAGGGTGGGTTACGTACATTTTGAGGATGAAGATGGAGCGGAGGCCTGATTTATCTCCCAGGCTGTCCTTTGGATATTCTAAGTGAGTTTAAAGGAAATGCAGTCAGCGCTTAGGGGCTGCAATCTGTGTAAGTGATTGTGGAGGATGCAAAAATGAAGGAATACAGGGTCCCTGTCCACCAAAGAGCTTAGAGTTCTTTGGGAGAGACCAGGTGGGGCACAGAGGATGCAAGTATATGAGAAAACGTGTCTAGTGATTACTTCTGGCAGGTGGGGGGTGAAGTGGGAGGGGATACGGCGCAGGTAAGTGCTGTATCTGTTCAGTGTTGCAGGTGAAGATATAACGTTGGCAGTTTTGGAACCAGTTATAGTTGTCATTCTTGGTGCCCTGGTATAGCTCGTTAATCATAAGCTGACAGATTTGCCAAGNGCCAGTGAAGCGACGTCCTCCACAACTAGACTGAAGAACAAAGGACAGCAACTTGTCTGTTCCCCTTCCCCGATTCCCCAACGCTGTTCCCCTCCCCTAATTCCCCAATTTAAAAAAAAGAATGTCAAAAAGATTTAGAAGCCAAAAGAAGGCTGAGGTGGAATTGTCTTAAAGTCTTCAAAGGAAAGATTCTTACACTCTTGTCTTTCTGCAGAGCCAAACCTGAAAATAGTTTGTAGCTGGAGTTCACAAACTACAGCCACATGCCAAATCTGGCTTGCTACCTGTTTTTATAAATAAGGTTTTATTGGAACACAGCCACACCCATTTGTTTATGTATTGTCTGTGGGCTGCTTTTGTGCCACAGTGGCAGAGTTGAGTGGTTGCAACAGAAGTGGCCCTTAAAGCTTAAAATATTTACCCTCTTGCCCTTGATAGAACAAGTTTGTTGATCCTAATATATATGCTAGCAAGAGAAAATCTGGATAGATAAAAGGCAGAAGTTCCTTGTGTTCTATAAAAGATGCATTATGGGAACTTGTCAGAATTGTGAAGTGGCACTTTACCAGGCTGGGTAAGGCAGAGTCTCGAGACAGGCAGTAAACTCCACCAAGAAGCCTGTGGAAATTCCCAGAAGGCCAGGCCAGTGGACAGTTCTCAGGGGCTCAAGTCACTGTTGTTCCCATCTCTGAATCAGTGAGTCTCGACTTTGGTCACACTTGGAGAGCTTTAAAAAATATATATGCCTGGCCAGAGTTTCTGATTTAATTGGTCTGGTTGCAGCTCCCTAGTGGTTGGAATGATTCTAAACCAGGGATGAACCACTGCCTGCAAGATCAGCTTACACCCAACTGCCTGCTAGTGGTGGTGGTGGTGGGGGTGGGGGTGGATATGAGGAAGCGGTTCCTGTTGGCTTTATCAGACTGCAACTCATTAATGCTCATTTCAGATGTTTGGAAAAATTGCAGCCTGCCTATCAAGTGACCTTTCCTGGGCAAGAGCCGGTTGTGAAGAAAGGCAAAATCTGCCCAATTGACATCACCCTGGCACAGAGAGCTTCTAATAAAAAGGTAATTTTTAAAAAGACACAATGTTTGAAGATGATGATTTCATGTCCCTGCTAAGTTCTAGTCTCCCTTAATGTGACAGGAGGCTTTTAGCTTGGCAACACCTCCAAGGTTGTTTATGAAACACTCACGTTTGTGTGACTGGGCTGCACCCTGTATAAAACAGGTGAAGCTGATCCCTCGCTCACCACCCTCTATATTTTGTGCTAGGAAACTTGCTATCACCTGGTTCCAAAGTTAAACAAGATTTTATTTTTTTTCTTAGAACTATATTGTGGGCTTTCAGCTGTTCATTCTGTTATCTCTTGGGCTTTGATCAATGAAAATAACTTCTAAAGAATTGCTGAAGGAACTGACCATGTTTAACTTGGCCACACAAAATCGTAGGGAACAAATTGCATCTGTCCTCAAATATGTGAAAAGCTGTCTTCAGGAAAAGGAGTGCACCTATTCTGTATGCCTTGAGAAGACAGCAGGATGGTAGAAATCCCAAGAAGACAGACTTGGGTTCAAAATAAAGAACTCTCTAGTAATGTACAGTTATAAGTGTGGGCTTTGGGATTAGAGACCTGGGTTCAAACGTGGCCTTTGCCTCACGGCTTGACCTTGAGCAAGTTACTACTGTGTTTCCCCGAAAATAAGACTGGGTCTTATGTTAATTTTTGCTTCAAGAATCCACATTTATTCATTTATTCATGTATGAAAATCTACATTTATTCAAACAGTCATGTCTGGCTGACGATCTTAACTAGGGCTTATGTTTGGGGTAGGGCTTATATTACGAGCATCCTGAAAAATCATGCTAGGGCTTATTTTCCAGTTAGGTCTTATTTTGGGGGAAACACGGTAATGTCTTTTTGCCTGCATTTCCTCATATAAAAAATAGGAATAACACCTACCTTATAAGGCACTGTGAGAACCAATGAAGGAATATACATTGGTGAAGCGCTGAGAATAGTACTTGGCCTATAAGCATTCAATAAATGAGAACCAGTAATGATAACTTAATAATTAGCAATAGCCACTGTTTATCGAGTGTGTAATTATGTGCCAGACTCTGTACTAAGCAATTTCTATGTATATTATCTTAGCTTATTTAAACCCTCATTTTTATATTAATAATAACAATTAGAATTGTCCAAAATGGAAATTGGTGCTTTCTAAAATAGGGAGTTATTTTCTGGAGGTCTGTAAGCAAAGATTAGGCAACTGCTTGTTGGGGGAAGATGTAGTCAGGACTTCGTGCATCAGCTAGGGGGTTGGAATAAACCTGACTTCTAACGTCTTACTGATTCTTAGATTCCCTGGGGCTGAAGACCCTTGACTAGTGTAGGTTATTTGGAACTTTTATAGACTTTATTGAAAACAGCCCTCCACAACCCACTCCTAATAATAATGTACTTTACAATCTCTAGTAATGAATGAGAGAGAACTTGTTTTAAAGAAACGGGGAGAATTGTGACTTTTTAAAAAGTATTAATATTTTTATCTCAAAGTCACATACTTGTGATTTGTGAAGCTGATGAAAAAGAGAAAAATGCATGTGATACAGATGAGATACTTGGTATTAAGGAATTATTGTTTGTTTATTTTTAGGTGTGATGATGGTTTCATCTTTCTGTTAAAAAGAGCCATGTTTTGGAGATACATACTGAAATATTTGTAGATGAAATGATCTGATGATTAGGAGAGTTTGCTTTAAAGTAATACAGGAGCGGGGGAGTGGATGGGAATCTAGATGAATCAAGGTTGGTCATGAGTTCATAATCGTTAAAATTGGTGATGGGTACATGGGAGCTCATTTTACTATTCTACTTTTATTTATGTTTTAAATTCTCCATAATAAAAACTTTTTAAAAAGTATAAGGTATGATAAAAAAATACAGTGAGTGTTTCAGTAAAAAACTGATTACAGTAAAAGATACATTGCCATTAATTCCCCTCAAAATCCTCTCCCTCACTTTGAACACGCTTACCACTTTCTTAACATGTTCTTGCCACTTTCTGAAGCAGTTCTGGAAGTCCTCTTTCATGAGTGTCTTTAGTTACGCTGTCGTGGCTGCCCTGATGTCCTGAATTGATTCAAAACGTTTACCTTTCATGGTCATTTTGACTTTGGGGGAGAGCCAGAACAGTGTGTGACAAGTTTCAGTTTGTTCGGTGCAGTCAGTTGGGTGTAAACTATGGTTGAGAAAAGGTGTGTTTTAAAGTGCGCTGTAAATCATCCTCCATCATGACAATGCTCCGTGTCACACATCGCTTCTGGTATATGGCAATTTCTGTCAAATAAAAACATTACAGGGAGTCCTCATCCACTTTATTCACCGGATCTGGCACCATGCAACTTCTGGCTCTTCCTGTATTGAAGATCCCTGCCTTCCCATTGGTATTTTTTCTTCATACCTCATATATGTTAAATGCAGGATAAAGAGTATCTATCCCATTACATAAGAATCAATGGGCAGAAGAATCAATTTAGAAGCACAGAAATAAANTGGCCATTCCAGAGCACACTGGGATTGAGAAATAATTGGATTCCTTCCCCAACCTGAATCGAATACTCAAGACTTCTGCTTGCTGAATTGGGAAGTCACCTCAATTTTCTGGGCATTAGTTTTCCTAAGTGAAAACATGAGGGTGAATTAAATATCTTCAAAGCTGCCTCTGGTTCTTTCATTTTCTGTTCCAAGACTGCCCCTTGAAGAGGCCAGCTTCTCACAGGACATGTGGGGGCATGAGATGTGCTCCAGGCTCCTTCTCTAGCTTTGGGTCCGTAGAGACACCCAGGTCCGTGTCTCCACCTCCTCAGCTGTCCCAGTAGTTGGGAGAAGTGAATGAGAGTAGTCCACACGTATGAGAGCTTGGTACCTGCTAGTCCCTGTGACCCTTACTACCTCCATTCTACGAGGCACGGAGATGTTAAGTAACCGGCACAAGGTTACATGAGTGCTAGGTAAGGGAGCCAGAATTTGCACCCAGGCCAACCTGACACCGACACCATGTTCCTTACCCTGCTTTACACTGACCCCAGGGTAGGGAATGAAAAGTTTGGATTAAAGGGGCCTTAATTTTCTTTTGTAATAGTTGTATGCTTCTGTGGCTAGAGGCTTAAGCGTGAAAGATGGGGAGGATGAAGCAGCGATAACAGGGATAGTAAGTCAGGATTCTTTGAAGGCTGGACAGCAGACCCCTTTCTTTCCTCTTACACATTCCTCTCCCCTTCCCAAAGAAGCTTTAGTTGTCTGGTCTTGGATTTTCACATGTGAATGTGTGTGCACATGAGTGTGTGTGTGTGTGTGTATGTGTGTGTGTGTGCGTGTGCATGTGTGCGCGCGCGTAGGGTCAGAGCAGCCAGATGTGGTGAGGCATGTTGCTCTACCTCTAGTTAAGAAAGATGGGGTAATGACATCCCTTCCAAAGGGGCTTCTCCCACCGCCCCAGTGAAGGCTGTAACTGGAAGACCACTGAGCTGGGGACAGAGGCAGGAGTCCTGGGCCCTTCTGGCTTTGTCACAATTTAAACCCAGTGTATGTCCTTTGACCCCCCTGTGTCTGGTTTCCATTAGTCCCAAGGTGGCAACAGGACCTGCCTGCTGCTTACCAGGGCCTTGGGCTTCCCATGGGATGGGGCTTGAGGAAGTAACAAGTAGACCCAGATGTAGGATACATCCTGGCTTTCTGTTACCTCCTTGCCCTCCTAGATAGGCACTAGAACACCTTGGATTTCACCGGGTTCTGAGCCTGCCCCACTGGAGAAGGTCACCATGCTAGAGCAAGTGAGGTGGACATACTGGAGTTCTATTTTGGGTTCAGTGAGGCCTGTCATTTATAAAAAGCCACAGAACCACCAATTTCCTGGCAAAGGTTTTTTAAAATTTTCTATTAAAACTCCTCCCTTCCCTAGATCTCTCCAACTTTGCATTAGCCAAACATCTTAGGCTTTTAAAATTTCAATTTTCAGGGGATGTAAAGTACAGAATAGGGAATATAGTTAATAATATTGTAATAACTATGTATGGTGTCAGGTGGGTACTTGACCTATTGAGGGGATTGTAAGTTATATAAATGTCTACTGTTTTGTACACGTGAAATTAATATAATATTGAATGTAAACTGCAATTAAAATATTTTTTTTTAATTTAAAATTTTCACATTGTAAATAAAAGAGCTAGTGGAGGATGATTTCCTGGAAAAGCGGCTGGATTGCATGTGCCTGTGGATTCCATACAGTGACATGGACAAATTGGCTATTTCAGGATGAACTGGGAGAAATGCTTGGGTTCCTGTATTAGTTATGTATTGCTGCATAAGAAACCATCCCCAAGTTTAATAGCCTGAAACAAGTAATTATTATCTCTCTCATGGTTTCTGTGGATCAGGTATTCAGACATGGAACAGTGGGATGGCTAGTCTCTGCTCCCTGTCAGCTGGGGCCTCAGCTGGAAGAATTGAAACCATGTGAGGTGGGGCAACTTGCTCAGGGCTGGAGGCTGTGCCTCCAGGTGGCTCAGTCACATGGCTGGCAGGTTGGTGCTAGCAGGTTGGTTCCTCTCCACATGAACCTCTTTACAGGGCTTCTTGAGTGTCCTCTCAAGATGGTGGCTAGCGAAGCTTTTTCTCTCTCAGTCTGTTGAGATCTTGCTCCCAGGTGTAACATCTGTTTGGCTCAAATAAACTCGTATAAAAATTAAAAAAGTAAAATAAAATAAAAAAGATGGTGGCTAGCTTCCTCCAGAGCAAGAAATCTAGGAAACCAAGGTAAGAAGCTGCACTGTCTTTTATGACCTAGCCTCAGGAGTCACACACTGTCACTTTGGCCATATGCTATTGGTCACAAAAGTCAGCCCTGATCCTATGTAGGAGGTGACCACACAAGGGCATGAAGACCTTTGAGGGCCCTCTTGGAGTCTGGCTACCATAATCTTCCCTTTGGCCTTCAAAGATTGATGTCCCTCTTACATGCAAAACATGCTAATACACCCTCCCCAGGTCCTCAAAAGCTTCATTCCTTTATCTGTTCAAAATTAAGGAACTCATCAACTAAATCAGGTCCAGGTGTGGATGATGTGCCTCAGGTACATTTCCTCCAGTGTGCTTGAGTATGGCTCTTGATCTGACAACCTGTGAACAAAAGACACAAGCTATCTGCCCCAAATAAACCCAATCTAAAATGTTGCAACAGGCATAGTACAACCACTGTAGACACCCCCCAAAGGGGAGAAAATGGGAGGCACACGGGAGTCCCTGATTATAGCAAATATGAAACCCATCAAGGCTCATATTGCCAGTTTTTAAATTAGGGCTGAAGTCTTGTGTATGACAGTTCTAGGCTCCACCCTCTGAATTCTTCTGCCCTTCCTGTTTTATGAGATTGCCTGTGTTTGCAACTGACCCAAGAGTGGGGAACAGGCTGGGAGCTCTGTGGAGCTGCACTGGAGCCGCAAAGGGAACACTAAGGAATCTGAGCTTGCTGGGCTCAGTTTAGCCAGCTTACCTGGCAACCGGGCCACCCAGCAGGGAGCAGGCAGGTTCGTGATGCAGGCAGAGAGGGTGGGATGATGCCCACCTGGGNATACCCCACTGATGAGTTTCTGCTTTTTGGATTGTAGAAGAATATCAGCTTCCTCGAAAACACATCCAAGGCCTAGAAAAGGCCCCCAAGCCTGGCAAGAAGAAGTGACAGATTCTTGTTTCATACGGAGGAAATCCAAGCTCTGGGCTGGTCATTTATATAAGCATTTTCAGCTTTTGCAAATAAAAAAGATATAATTCTTTACCAAAATAAATGTTTATTCTAATCTAAATCTGATTTCCCTCTTGTTTCCTCCACGTGGCTAAAATGTACTAAATTTTCAAGTCAGAAGCCATTTTAAGTAGAAGAGGCCATCGTGGAGTGCCTTTTTCATTCATGTGGTTTCAGTGGTTTTAGTTCCTCCCCTGCTGTCAAAGCCAGACACCCCATCCAAAGGTCAGGCAGGTGGGGCCTTCCTGTTATTTTAAAGTCCCTCTGCCAAATATTCCACAGCCTCTTGCTCATCTGTTCCTACTACCTAATTAACCTCCTAGCCCCAAAATAGATCCTTCCAATCTCTAAAGGGTTATTCATATAGAAAGCAGAACCCAGCTGCTCTGTGTCATCAGTCAAGGCAAGAGAAGCAAGGATTGGCCCTGAATTTAGACTAGATGGAAATAAGCAGCAAAAGCACATTAGGACATGGGTTTCTGTAGTGATTCTTCCCACTGTTGGCATGTTGTCACTAACAGTGGGAAATTGTGATGTGGCTACAGGAGGATGGCTTTGTTACAGTGAAGCCTTATCCAGTAAATGCTTTTTTTTAGCCCCAAACTTCTTAACCTGGGACTCACGGAAGGGTCTTCAATTGGTCTTCAGAGGGTCCACGAGCTCCCTGAAATGGTGTGCAAGACTGTGTTTGGTCTTTTTCCGAAGAGAGGTTACCAGGCTTTTG